CCCCCCCCCCATACTTTCTTCTCTTCTCTCAGTCTATGACTTTCTCTCATCTCATCACTTCCTTCTTCCACCACCCCGTCTTTCTACCTCACTCCCTCATAGTTTCTTCTTTTCTCTCAGTCTACCGCTTTCTCTCACCTCAACACTTTATACTTCCACCCCCCTCTTCCTACCATCCTCCCTCATACTTTCTTCTCTTCTCTCAGTCTACAGCTTTCTCTTTTCTCATCACTTTCTTCTTCTATCCCCCCTCTCCCTCTACCCTCCTCCCTCCCTCTCCCACAACCCTACACTCCTTGTTGTACTGCTCCTTCTTGATGGGCCTCCTTAGTCTTCCCATCACTTTCTTCTTCCACCACCCCGGTCTTCCTACCACCCCCCCCCCCCCCCCCCCTCCCCCCTCCCCCCTCCTCCCTCCCCCACAACTCACACTCCTTGTTGTTTTGCTCCTTCTTGATGGCCTCCTTAGTCTTCTGTATCTTCGCCTGCAGCGCTTCGATGACCTGCTTGGTCTTGGCGTTGTTCTCCCCTTCCACGTCATCCGTGCCCGTCTCGCTGCCATTGTCAATCTGGGGGAGGGGGGGGGGACAAACGTTTAGTTTTAGGAAGTCTTTTATGGCACTTGCAACACAATTAGTTCATATAAGTGCCGAAGATTAGAGGTGTTACAAGAGAGTAACAAACACAAAAAAGGAGGAGGGGGAGATAAAGACGATAGATGTTTGATAGGAAAGAAGGAGCAAACCACACCAGAGCACCAGCCAATCACTCATGGGGGAGGGGAACAAACGGACAGATGGATTGTTACCTCTTCATAAACAAAAATAGCATTCCAAGACCCTAAAAAATTACAAAGATCTATCTGCTCAGTACCTAGTTTTGAGAAATTTGATGTTAAAAGATATAAAAGTTTTGAGCTTCACAACAGGTCAAGCTTTATGGAATGCAAATGCCATTCTTTCAATATCCTAATAACGACTGCAAATAATCTGACAATTTTGACATCGCAAATAAAACATTCGGTTTCTGACCGTAATAACTCAAAACAGCCAAAAATTATGTCAAATAGAACTTTGTAATTCTAGAGTAGCGATTTATAAATATAGAGCAAATTCCCACTCAAGAGAAAGCTCTATGAGCTTTGCAAACTATATATATATGCGAGACGAGCGAACAAAATGAGTTACTTAAGGATTTTAGCCCTTCTATGGAAATAAATGCCTCAAGTAAATATGTGGAGTTTGTACAATTTATAAGCATGAAGCAATAAAAGACACTTGAAGAAAACGGCATCACTTGAAAATCTGCGAATTTGACCCAGGTGTCTTATTTTTGGCCGATATCTCCATTGCGGATAGCGAGAAGTAACTCATTGTGTCCGCACACCTCACATATTATTACCCCAGCAGACCTGATAGCATTCTGAAACAGTTTCAACTTCCTTTGAAACATACAGTGCAAGCAAACACTTTTCAGGCACTGAAACACTCGGACGTTCTGACAAGATCTCCCTCCGTTTATGACTGTGCACTTATTCTATCATTCACAGCTAGGTGAAGTGAAGAAAATTCATGTAAAGTCCTTTTCCCAAGGACACGAAGTAGGGGCTGACCCTCAAACCCCCAAACCTGCAACCTCACAATTATAAGTCCAGTAGACCATCGACACCACACACTTATCAACCATAATCAATTTCATGGATTTTCCTCAGCAGCCAGATTTTTTTTGTATGTTACTCTCAAGTAACACCTCTAATCTTCAGCAGTTATATGACCTATTTGTGTTGCAAGAGCAGCATAACTCTTATTTAAACTTTAACTCTCTAGTAACACCTCTAATTTCGACGGTTATACAAACTATTTGTCTTACAAGTGCCACAAAAACTCAAAACTAATCCCCAATCCGCTGAAGCTAGAGGATTTCCTGCACTGAAAGACAGACGAGCAGGGAGGTTTTTAGTTTTAGTAGAGGTTTTACGGCGCTTGCAACTGCATCAGGTCATATGAGCGCCAGAAGATAAGAGGTGTTACAAGAGAGTAACAAACATAAAAAAGAAGTAGGGGAGATAAGGATGATAGATGATTGATAGGAAAGAAGAAGCAAGGAGGGAGAGGGACGACAGCACACAATCAGAAACAATTTACTTGCTAAAAGCAACTGTCAATCTGAGCAGGGAGATGAAAGCAAAGGAAGAATGTCCCTTCCATTCCCGATACAATCAAATTAGCACAAAACGGCTCAACTAAGGGGATGGGGTGGGGGG